ATAAATAAAATATAAAAGACAGAATAATAGGAAATAAGAAAGAAGAAAGTTATTTATTAGCATGGACAATATTTCTAAAAGTATGCGTTGAATGACAGGGGCAAAACCTCCGGTGCATATAAAAAAGTTATATGCACCAGATGGTTAAGGCAATGATCCTGAGAATCTTTAGCAGGTTTTTGAAACTGCAGTTAAATTGGTAGGATTCTCACCCTGACTAACTATATATGCTGATATCTGTGAACTAAGCAACTGCACTGAAGATAGCAATGTGTAACACTAGGGTCATGCGTGGAATGCCTGTCACTCTGGTCTTCTAAATACGTACTGCTTGTCATGTCATACCAATTACTGCCATACTGTCTCTCAAGTAAATGTTTGTATAAAAAAAGGATAATAAATGAAAACAAGAGACAAGAAAAAAATGTTATAGCACTGTCCTGCTGCAATGCTGTATATGGTTAGATTTCTAAATCACTGTGTAAAAATATGTAACTGTTCCTATTTTTTAAAATATTTGGGGCCAGGGAGATGGCTCAGTAGAATAAGTGCTTGCCTGGCAAACTCAAGGGCCTGAGTTCAATCCCTTGTTCCAAAAAAAAATATTTTTTTCTTCACATTCTTAGGGATATGAAGTTTAACATATCAATACTTGATGGAAAATACCTGTTCTACATTATGTCTAAGATGTTTGATATTCAGACAAATAGTGAGGTTAAGCTCAACTGCTTATTTTATAGAATAATAATATCACTAAGCTTCTCTTCTGGAGGGTGAACAATTTAAGTATGCAGAACAAACATTAAAGAAAAAGAAGGGCTGCAAGGAAAGCCAACATTTTGATCTTAGCCATTCAAGGTCAGTGAGGACTCAGGACATAGGAGAATCTGTACTCTAGCATCCTGTAACTCAGTTGTGTCCCAAATTTTCTGATCAAGGAGATTGTGAGGTCACAGAGGAAAGTGATCAATGATGTAGAGTATGCTTAAAGAGAGTCACATGGAGAGAAAACATTCTCTCAGGCGTTCACAGACAGTAAATTGGTCAAGCAATGGCCAATTTACATCTACATAGCTGACACTGACAGAGGATCTACAAACTGCAGTACAGGGTTTCAGGGTAAATCCTGAGGGAATTTGACTGACCTTCTCAGATACAAAAATTACATTTCTTGTTATATAGGTCTTGCTTTATCTTGGTCTTAACCATCCAGTGGAAAAGTATAAAAATTAGATATAAAAAGTAAAGCCATATTAATATGCTGAGCTGTAAAAGGCTCAAGTCAACAACTTCTGACATTGCCAGTCCTACAGATAACCCAGTACTACTATGGACTACTGGACTATATTGGATTATTTTGCTAAATTCACACACCTACAATATTTAAATGGCAATGGAATACCCATTTCTGACAAAACTAGACAAAAATAGGGGATATAAATGAAGGACCATTTTGTATCTGTATATACAAAATAATTAGGATAGATATACAGGTACTTTCTCTTGATTCAATGAAAGGAAAGATTTGGTGTTTGGACAGGATATCATGTCTGCATCTTGTGCTATGATTAACCACTATGAAGATAACAACATGCAGAGTATTAATTGTTGAAACTGTCCTACTAATCAGCTTTGAAACTGTCTCATTGCTATTTGTTTCTCTATAAAATTATTAAAAAACAAAATAAAAGTATGTGTTGATTTAGTATAATTAACATCTTACCTTATAGATCCCTATAACATATATTGAACAAAATCACTGGCTTCTCATGACCTTCATATACCTGTATGTTGTTTTCTCTGTGTGTGAGTCACATTTTATCTTTTATTTTTCTCCCTTATTTTTTGTCTCTTTTCCACCACAACTGGCCAAATAATGAGGTACTATGTTCTATCACAGTTTGCAAAATCTGAGATTGTTAGCTGGACTAGGAGCCTGCACATTTGAATCATACATGTAAAATGTAACAGCATATATCAATCATTCTGACTACACTTATACACACAGTCAGCAGTAATTCCAGAAGCAAAGTAAGAGAATCTATTCAATTCCTCATGTCCTCTTCTTGTCTGCCCTTTGCATGGTTCTTCCAGTTCTACACAGACTCCCTCCTAAATCTCAGGTGGACTGATAAGGACTGGGAAGACAAGCTATGTGACTTGCTGACAAGCTCAAGTCTGTGAAGGCTTTTAATCTAGAAAGAAATAACTACAGTAAATCCTCACTAAAAGGTTTAGATTTCCCTGAGTGTATGGAAGAGGGATAAAGAAGCAGTCAAAATGGCGAAATGTTCAACCTTACAACTAGGTAAGTTGTGGAGGCTTTTCAAAAATGGGAGTAGGAAATTTAGATACTTTTGATTTCTAAATCAAATGTAGGCCCACAATCTCAGACAGTTTTCCGCCTGTTACATGACATAGTAATACATGCTGTGGCCAGTGGTGATGGTCAGTATGAAGAAAAATAAGATAAAAGAAGGGCGACTGGGGAAGACAAAAAGGTGTTAATAAGATAGGCCCATGCAGGTATGTAAGATGAAGTTGGATATGTGGGTTTAAATCTTTTTTCTTTTTGCATGAAGACACAGATTACAGAGTTATTAGTAAACATTGTCTGTATAAAGGACTCTAGTAGAGACACTTTTCCAGAGTAATAACAAAAGGAATTAGAAGTCCTACATTCTGAGAAGCAACACTTGAGAAAGTGTTTATTTGCAAATGACAGCAAAGTTGCAGCTTGGGAAATGGGAGGGAGAGAGGCTTGTTCATTTTTCTAACAGTCAAGAAAGGAGAGAATTTCAAGAGAATAATTGGCCTTAAATAACAAATGACACAATTAAGAAATATAGCCCTGTCCTTGAAGCTGCACTGTATTTAAAGAAAAAAAACTCTGAAATACCTAACTCCTTTTTCTAAGTTAGTCCCTAACTTGAATAGTGTTGAGACTGCATTTATTTTGGATTAATGTTTCATGATTTTGGTTGTACACTAAAATCACATAGGAAGTTTTTTTAAAAAAGAAATATTCTCAGCTCCTATTTAAATGAGTTATATTAAAACTCAGTAGAGAACCACCAGGTCACCAATTTAATTCAAAAGAAAGCTAATAAAATTAAACCAAAACACAGTGCAACAGGTTCTCAGGTTTACATCTTGGTCAGCTACTTTTTAGAACAAATCTTTTTATTTATTTATTTGATTTATTTGATGCATGGTTTCAGTACGCAGCTCAGACTCAGTGATCCTCCTGTCTCAGCCTCCCCAGCACTGGGCTTACAGATGTGTGCCACTAAACCTGGCTTTGGTGCCATGAAGATGCGCCCAGAGCAGAGGTGGCATAGCACCCCTGGAGCGGGCTGGCAAGGCATGTGGTACCAGGTATTGAACCTGGTTCTTGCCCTTGCCAGGCAGGAACTTAGACCACTGAGCTATCTGCCTAGCCCTCTGCTACTTCTTAATTATCTGATTTGGAATGAAGTATTTACTCCACAAAGCACTACTCTTTGTGAAAGTGAAATAACGAAGGGCAGGGAGATAGCTCAGTGATCCAAGTGCCTGACTGGCAAGCACAAGGACCTGGTTGATCCCTGGTACCATATGTAGTGTCAGCCCCAGAACTGGATGTGGTAGCGTGTGCCTGCAATCCCAGCGCTGGGGAGGCTGAGTCAGGAAGATCACCAAGAGTCCCAGATGTATAGCAAGACCCTGTGCCAAATAAATAAATAAATAAATAAATAAATACATACATATATACATAAAGATAAAAAAGAAAGATGAATATGTGATCGTGTACTATACAGTATTAAAATGCCTATTAGGATGTTAAGCATATAATAAATACTTAATATATTTTGAACAAACTCATTCTAAAAACATGAAACCCAATTCTTAAGTTGCTAGTTTATGATCACAGAACTGAGAAACTAGGATTACCTAAATTTTTCCTTTAGGTTATTTTTATTTTTTAAAAAAATCTTCTTGAAGTACTTGATGGACTGGGTTCTGCGCAAAGCACATTAGTGAAGCCGCTTTCTAGAATGGCTTTCTAATTGGAATAATGGCAGATTTGCTTCCGTGATCATCGGGCATCAGGGATTTTTTCTTGGCACTTTCCTAATATAAAAATTCTATGAGGGACACACTATTTTCATCCTCAGTTTGAAGGTGAGAAAGCAAATTCAGGAAAATTAAATGGCTGCCCCTACTCCCAGGAGCTCGCGTTATTAACTCTCATTCTCTATGATGACCCACTTGAAGGAACTAGGAAAACAAACATGGATGACGCACCTTGGAAGCACACCTGTGTAGACACAGCAGCCAAAAGGAGCCAGAGTTCACGTTTTCCTTGGACTGCCATTCAAAGCTGCGTGTGACCAATCTGGGTCCTCTGCCTATTGGCCTGGTATTTTAAATATTTTATCACCCTATTCTTTGGAAGCAATTTGGACGAAAGAACCAAAACAGGAACAGGACAGAAATTCTCTGAAGGGTTCTTAGTGTTTACTCCCTGTTGGGTTGAATCCAGTAGCTCACCTTGATGACCATAACTTTGTTAAATAAGTGAGATAGAATTTAAGAGCCAAAAGCAATGTCTTATGTACTTTCCTCATTAAAGAATATAGTTTTATTAGTGAGACCTACTGAACAGAGAACTCCAAAGCATGTGGACAAGTCTGATACAAGCAGCGAAATTTTGGCACATAGAAATAAACTGCTTAGATTAATGTGCATTTCCTGGGATGGGCCAGGCTTCCAGTTTTTCCCTGAAAAGCAAAATTAAGCTTTCTTTCAGAGTTGAGAATACATTCTACACTTATATTGATTATTTGAAAGTATTTACTTAAATAAAAGTGAACTTGAATGCAGAATGTGACTTGCTTTATCCTTCACCACCATACTTATGTACATATTTTGATGAGAACTTGTTTTCACTTAGGACATTTTATTCTGTTTTTTTCTTAAACTTATTATCTATTGATTTATCATGTGCTTGTAAATAACTTTTTATGACGACATGAGAGAAAAATATATCAAAAGCTAGAAAGGTACTGAAACGGAACCAATGAAAATATGTCATAAATCAGAGAGGGAAAATAACAGAAAATTAAAATGGTCCAGGTTCAGTATTAAAGGCCTGGCACAGTGACAACAGAACATCCAAGATTTGAAGGAGATTTTATATCTTCTTTTCCCATAGTTGTCAGCTCAAATGAAAATTCTCTGTGCTGTTGCACTAAGAATAATTTCTTAGAGAAAACAAATCTTCAATGTACATTTCAATTACATTTGGAATTTTCACATTATCTATTAATTTGGCAAAATTCAGAATATAACTCATGTTGTGAGTGTGCCATTGGAAAATGCTATCTCTTTGCTCATCTCTGTATGACTGAGTTGCTCTGATAATTTACAGAACTGCAATCTCCCTCTCAAATGCAAGAAAAGAAGCAGGAGTGATTCTTAGATGTTCCTAACCCAATGGTTCAAGTTAATTAGACTATAATGTGCACATTTTGAGTTATACAATATTTTTCATAATAATTATATGCTATGGAGACATCTATTAAAAACCTAAAGTGATCATTTAAATGCAAAATCTCTGATAGAACTCCATTATATTTTTCATACTAAATTAACATTACAGGCTTCTAATGGAGGCTTTAATTAGGCATTGATGTTATCAGCAATATTTGGCAAAATAAAATCTGTCACTGTGAAATATTCATTATGTTCAATTTCTGTCAGTCAATATTAAGTATTTCCTGAACCTTGTGATTTAACCAAGAAGCCAGACGCTAAGCAAGAAATTAAAAACCTCCAGACAAGTTTCCTTCTTATGGGATATATAAAACATATGTGCCTATTAGGCAGCTTTTGTATTTTATAAGTATCAAATAACCAGCTTCATTTTACCGACATACTTAGAGGCATTCCATAGGAAATTGATCTTACTTCTCCGTGGACTAAAAATCATAAGGTCTATCCTATTAAAAATACATTATCTTTCACAAAGCAACTCAATTGAAAGGGGTATGTGTGTGTTTGTATGTATCACTAAAGAACTCCATGGTCTCTGGAGGTCAGAGAGGGATCAGAGAGGCCAACATAGGAAATGACACAGCAAAAGGGAGCTGAGCATGTGAACATTTCCAGGGAGAGGCAGGGCAGAGCTAGGAGAGAAAGCTGGGTGCTTACCAGTAATTTTACCATTAGCTTCCAAGGGAGGCTGCCAGCTTACAATGACGGCACGAGGCTTCCCTTCCCGAGTAATGACAGTCAAGTCCTTGGGCGCCGAGGTCGGGGCTGTGAGGTGAGACAGAGACAGGGCCTTATGACTGGTTATGAAAGAAAACAGACGCTGGTGGAACTTTGAATCGTGATGTTGGTGCACAGAATCTAACACAAAGTACAGCATTGTGATTCTGCCATTTGCAATTTATTTCAAGGACCTGAATTCCATAAGCAAACAAGTTATAAAATGTAATGATTTTCCATGAAAGTTAAGTGATATCCAGAGGAGTGCTTATAGAGAGGGATTGAGGTAGGAATGATAACTTTGATGACAAAAATCTTCAAGACACAGAAGTCTGCTGCACCTGTCTTTCAGAAATGAAAATACCACTTATATTTCCTTATAAGCAAGACAAGAGTTAGTGCCCAGGTTGAAACACATAGCCTGGACACCATATCAACATCTTCTAAATATTAAGATAAAATTGAGAAGTGAAATATAGGAATTAGGGAATGGATGAGTGGCTTCAATTTGGCATGGAATAAGATGAAATGAAACTGGCTTTAAACAACTTGGGATGACACTTCTCCTACATGTTGTGCTTGATGAAGGCTTAAGGACATTTAAAGGTAGAAGCAAATTGGCTGACTCCATGCAGTATCTTTCAGACCTCCGCTAGATGGTTTTCTTATTCTCTATGCTTGGAAAGAGAGTTTTGCTTTTTAGTAGCTAACAATGGTCCATTTCAATTAGCTACAGCCTTTGTTACTCCCCGTTTAACATAGGCAGAGTGAAAAAATATCTAGGCTGTGTGTTTGGGTTGTTAAAAACTTGTCACCAAATAGGAATTCTGTGTATTCTAAGATACACAGAACTTGGTTTCTAACTCTGTATCAGCATTACTCTAAGTAATCACTTTGACTATTTTAGTTCAGTAATATAAAACCTTTACATTATCTATAGTTCATTTTTAACATCTCTTCCTGAGTTCCAAATACAAGCCAAGTAGCAAGAAACCAGTTATTCCCATCTGTTGTTTCATTTGCTTTCCATTTCCCTCAACTTCAGAGTCACAGGGATTCCAGGTTTTCTCAAGTTACACCTATTCTGACATCTTGATATTCAAACTTTTAAATAGAGAATGGAGGCAAAAGATATCATGAAGGAGAAAAAGGAATACATGACCAGAAAGAGGAAAAAGAGTACCAAAAGAAAGAAAAGAAGAAAGACCTTTTTTTTTTTTAGAACTGGGGATTGAACTCAGGCCCTTGCCTTTGCCAGAGAAGCACTTATTCCACTGAGACATCTCTCTTGCCCCTGGGAAGACATATTAAATGTACTCAATAATAGTTAAGGAAAATATGATATCAAAAATCAGACCAGAAACATTATTGAGAGAAAAGGAGCTTTGTTATAGCAAATTAATAAAGGCAATATTTTCTTTAAGAGGAATTATTCCCATACAAAGAGGTCATTCAAGACAGTACTAGACTATAAATAGGAAGCTAAGATACAGATTAGATTATGATAAAAGATATAAAATGGAATTTTCAAGTTATTGATGAAATTGAAAGTTATGTATTTTAACCTAAGTCAAACAGCTTTTCTATTATTTCAATAAAATTCAAATTGATATTTACTTAGAAAACAGATAAGCGATGATGACTGATTGCTTCATATAATCTCTTTTAGTATATAAAAATAATTTTTCAACATCTAATATTAAAATAATACATTCAAGAGTTGATTGTTCAAAAACATCAGTCTATACCTAACCTACTTCAAGTAGTATGTAAGACCTGTTTGTAGACTATATGCGAATGTTGTTAAATAGAAATTTTGGTATTCAAATTAATAGTTACATTATTTAGGATTATCACATTAACTGCATTCACTAATATTTACAAAAGAATGTGGCCTTAATAACTTCAGTGCTTCCTGATACCTCATGGAGTACACCTCTGTCTGGCCCATTGCAGGACATGGTGACCTATGGCTAAAGGTAGAGCGAAACAGGGAGGGTGTAGCCTGTCAGAGTCCATGAAGTTCCCAGTAGTCTGGAGGTGTGAGTTTAGGGCTCTGCTGTACAGCATGGTGAGCACAGGTCCAAATAATGCTTTAGTTGTTTTAAATTGTAGCAAGAATAAAGCATTTCACAATCTTAACTACAAATAATTGACCATTTAGGTTACACTTACTAAAAACATCACACCATATCCCAAATATACACCACTGTTGTTTCTCAATTAAAGATGAATCAGTAAATGTAAGTTAAATATCTTTATTGAATACATACTATCTCTGAATTAAGTATAAATAATTAAATATCAGATGACCTGTTTATGGTTTATTTACTTAGAATTTATGCTTTTATAGTCTCGTTTTTACTTGCTGACCCACAAATATGCTGTTCTACTCACAGCTTTTCACAAGCATCTCTTGAACATAATTCTTTCCTTCTTGCTTCCTTCACTCTTTTCACTTAGCTTCCTCCTCACTTCTTTTCTTCTTTTCCTCTTTCCCTCCCACCTCACTCCCATCCTTCTTTTCATCTTCCTTTCTGTCCTTCCACCTTCTTCCCTCCCCTCCTCATTGCATAATACTGGGAATGAACTGCTATCTACCCATCCATCCACCCATCCACCCATCCATCCATCCACTGAACTACCCACCCACACACACACCCGTCCATCCATCCGTCAGTCCTTCCATCAGTCTGTCCATCCACCCCCTCACCCACCCACCCTCTCACCTACTCATACATCTATTTTTGCTAAAGTTCCTAGGCTAACCTGAAACTTGCTATCCTCCTGTCTTGGTATTCCAAGTAACTGAGATTACAGGGACATATGTGCTGTCACTGTTCCTGGAGAACACATCATCATCCTGACATTTAATTGGCTATTTCTGACATGCTCTTCTCTCCTTCTGGAAGTGCTTGCAGTGGGACCTGATGCTCCACTGAGGGCACAGCTAAGCACCCTTTCATTTATACTTCCAAACAGAATTTATAACTGTTTGTTTCCTTTGATTTCAACTTATCCAAAGTTTGTTTTGGGACTTCCCATCTTTATTTAGGACTTTTTCAAAATATTCTTCTATTCCTTTACCTGTCTCACTGCCTGACAATTACAAATGAAGGTTATTATCCAGTCATACCCATGATCAACTTCGTGACTCACTACTCGAGCACCGCTCTCTGATATTTCTGGCTCTCAAATATTTTGACATTTGAAATTTTTGCAACATGCATGAATGGATGGTAATAATCAAGATTTATAAAATTTCAGCAGTAGGAATCATAAGCATTTGTGCCTTGGACCGCCCAGCATCCCATCTGCTTCCTTTCTTCTACAGAAGCACTCTGCTGTTTTGATCGGAGAACAAACTCTTATATGTGTCAAGAGCTTGGTAGCAACATCTGTCAAGAAATTTATGGTCTTCACTGCACTCTTTGTTAAGCTTGTGTGATCCCTTCCCAAGCCATCAGTATTCCATCTGGCTTCTGGAGACTTGAATACGCACGTAAGCAAGGGAAACGTATAGGATCAAACCACTGAGATACCACCACCCTGCAATGGCAGTCAGCTAGTTTGCTACTTGTCTCTAAAGTTTGGCTTCTGTCCCTTTCTCACATCTGATTATTTCAGATATCCTTCCTGTTATTTTTATTTTACTTAATCAGAATAAAATAAAATAGTCACCACTGGGACAGAATGAAATATTTTACATCAAGAATTTGCCAGCCAGTTTTAGGTTCACCAATAGTCATTTCAGTACCTAACAATGTAGAACAAACAGTCTTGATGTGCTTGTAGAGTTAGAGGCAAACCCAGAGTTATTTTGTTTGCTTTGCTCTCTTCTCAGAGTTGTAAATCTGCAGACACTTGCGAATTACTTCTTGCCTCTCCTCATCACCAGGGGAGTTCAGCCACATGCTATTTACACCTACCAGATCATTATCTGACTTGACAATTGCCCTTTCTACTAAACACATTTCTTAAAGTGAATTATCTTTTTTTTGTCAGCAATGTGCCTCACTGTTGGTGTCCATACAGGTGAGGAAGTTAATTAGAACTCAATAGGGTGCATTTATCAAGACAGATGTTGATGTGCATTTTATGCTTGTGAAAGAAAAAAATGAATGAATTTGGTTGTTTTCAGGTAGAATTAATACCTTTTCACTAAGGGAAGATTATATTTTTTCACTAGTTTTCATTTTATTCCATTGTTCTTTTCAAGTAAAAAAGAAGTTCCTTTAACGTTTTCCATAGTGTGTACTGCATCTCATTTTTTTTCTCTAAGAGGCCATGAACTTTGGCATAAAAGGCAGAATTGTAAGAGGAATAGTTGGTGTATGTATAACATAAAGTAGAAAAGGAGGATATTAAAATTAAATTAGATGTTAAAATTAAATTAGAATAGCTAGAATAACTTCTTATCAAAGAAGACCCCATAAAAATGTAAATATACTTATAGTGGAAATCTAAAAGCAGTACTCTGAGATAAAAATTAGAACAGGAATTGCAATACGTGTGTGTGTGTGTGTGTGTGTGTGTGTGTGTGTGTACACAAGATGGTAGAGATCAGAACCAGGGCTGTACATGCAAGGTGCACACTCTGCTATAAGCTCTGTCTTCATCTCACCAACAGATCAATTTCCAGTTGAAAAAGAAATTCACTTTACTCAAAGAAGGGCCTTAGTGGCATATTATTTAATTTGAATTTTTCCCATGAAGATGGTATAATATAAAAATAATCCTCTCCGTTAAAGAGCATACAATTTTTAGGTGTTAGATTTGTGTGAAGTGTACTTGCCAAATACACTGCAGCCCTGTTAATAGTTTAAACTTTCCTTCTGTGAGTCATGATAAGTGGGATTGGCAACATTGACGGGGGATTGTATTACTTTTGCTTCAAGCTATTTCAAATTGCATAAAAGTTGCCTTTCTTGCTGCTCCACTTCCAAAGAGTGCCCTGGAAACTTCTTCCTGTATTCAGCTGTGGTTGTTTTGGATTAGTATGCATGAAGCTACAGCTATGATGCAATGTTTTCTTTTACACTTAATTTCTTTCAGGTGTGCAAATACTCACCATGACTATGGTGAAGCACAGTTTTGGGCAGAGTTCAACAGATGCATTTCTGTTCTTTACTCACACATACCAAACAAAACATTTATCTAGAGATTGCCTAAATTAATATCTTTAGGAAACCACATATTAATCTTGCAGGCATGTGATTGAATCTACTGGAGACTCATTTTCTCTTTTTCTAGAGTACTAAGAAATCAATTAACTATAACACTTCTGTGAACTTATGATAAGATATTTTATATATGATAAAGGTATAATTGAGAAACCACAGTGTTAGTGTATTTCAATTTTCTGACCTTCATGAAATGTCCAAAGTAGACACTTTGAGATAAGCCTTTCTTTACCTGCTTCATATGTGGTGGCATGTGCAGTCATGCTCCATGTGCTGGATCTTCTGTTCTTTGTTACCATGACTGAGAACTCATACATCGTGTTTGGTTTCAGGCCCGTTGCTGTGTAGCTGAGGGAAGTTGTGTCTTCTGACTATACAAGTAGGAATTCAGTAAAGAAATACAAAAGATGAACTCTATCAACTTGGTGAAGCAAGACATGTGAAAAGAATATCAAACAAGCCAGCGAAAACCAACTGTATTTCAAAATAGCAGAAAAACTAGGACAAGCATTGACACAGTCTTTTCTGTCAACCAGCTTATGTGGGCTGATTACACCTCTAAAATATGATTGATAAAAATCAGATTTTACATAGATGAAAAGTGTGGCTGCTGATAACTTCTCTAAGTGAGGCAACAAGCACAATATAGGACAAATAATTCTTCCTCTGTCAACCCCACCTTTGGAAGGTGTCTGTCCTGACTTGGACTTAAATTGATTTATAATAAAAATCTAGATTAAAGTTATATATTTGACATAGATCATTATTATTTTCCACTGATAACAAACATAATTTATTAGAGCTTATTGTTTACCATATTTTAAGAAAAGATTTTAAGGTACAATCTTTTAGTGCTTCTAGTATCTATTTAGCTTTTAAGGAAATGAAGTAGAAGTGATTTTGTGTTACAGACTTTTCTTTCTTTTGGCCTACTTCACATTAAATCAACATGTAAGTGTGGTAACTGGGGTAACTTATGAAAAAAGAAGAAGAAAATGGACAAATAATAAAAAGTACATTGGGTGCAAAGTGGTGCACCATTTAAGTCTTCGGAATCAACTGTTTGTCTTTTAAACAAAAAGTTATTTTAGTAGAACATAAATTAAATAAATTATATCTTTATTACTTTTTTAAAATTCAAGGTGGTAGTGAACAAAAAATCAGCTTAGTCCCCTAAATTAAAGCATGTTTTATAAATGAGCAGGCAAATTCAAAACTATTTTTTTACCTCTTAGAAGTATGTACTTGTGCTTGATATTGAGATCTTGGTCTCTTTCCAAACTTACTTACTTTTACATCTATATTTATTACATATTTTATATATCTATGCCTAGAGAGTCAGGAATGTTTACCCCTCTTAGAGAGATATCTTATCTATCTCTCCCTTACTATGGTTGTTTGGTAAATCTTTTTTATCCTCCTGTGAATCTCTTAGGAAATAGCTATGAAAATCTTACATTTGGTTGCATCACCAGACAAATATTTAACTGCACTAATCACATTTCGATGAAGTGCTTACAGGTTCTATTAAAATTATGATCTCAGAAATATTTATCAGAAGTTCTACCTAAGTACAGTTATAAAATGCATCCTAAAATAAGTGTAAAATATTTTGTATGAGCAGAAGATGGAATGCCATCAAATAAAGTCTATATGAGGCAGCTAGTATGTGCCAGGCTCTGTGTCACTTTCAGTATTGCCTTGCTAATGAACATCCTAACACGTCTGAATTCCACAAAAGAAAACAGGAGAGGGAACCAGGGCATTGAAAAATGGTTTTCATATGAGGGCAGAAACTTTAAAACCAGTCTCTTTGTGCACCACTGGGATTTAGGATACCACTATGCAATCCAATCTTTATGGTCTAGAATAACAGATTGGCATTTACAAATACCATGAAACTACTCTCTTGCTGTGGAAACATGGAGCAGATCACTGGTTATCTTAAATCATTAAGCATGGAAATACTTTGGAAAATCATGGTCAGTTAGTTCTGGGAACAGCACACCCAAGTAGTGTCTTTGTGAGCCCTAGCTCCCCATCTATACAATGGAGATGATCACAGAATGGCTCTCATATCATTCAAGGGTCACACAGAGTAAAAGACAGTGCTCAGCCCAGTGTAGGACTTACCAGTAGCTATGACAGTTCTTGCAAGTATCACATCATATATAATTTTAGTCATGTGGTAAACTCCCTTTTGCTTTGTATCTTGAGGAATGAAATTGGGTCCTAGGGAACTATTTTCTGTAATATTCATGGAATACCTAATAAGTACTAGTTAACTGTCAATGAATCTATTTGGAATAGAAATGTATATAAAATTGCATGTGATTAAACACTCTGATAGAAAAGCAATGATAATTTTTTCATTTTGTCAGGGAAACCAAGAGTGTTTTGCACAATCAAAACATAAATGTCAGGATTAAGGCCTAATTTTGGCATAAATATTGTATAAGGTTACTTTTGTAGGGCAGGCCCTGCAGGATCCTATCAGGCCAGCTTAGTCTAGCTTTAGTTCAGTAGGTTAGTACCACCCCTTCCTCCTGTTCCCCAAGGCACATGCACATGTATATACAGTCTTTGCTATGAAGAATGCTACTTACTCTCTTTATAGTCATTATAAATATCTATAGCATATAGATTAAAACATGACACTAAGTTAACTGATATAATAAGATACAATGAAGTCAATTCTTGAGTCCAGACCATTTGATTCCAGGTATTTTTAAAATTTTATGCATGCCTTACCTATCTTATGAAGTTAACATGGAAAAAAGAGATTAAGTCCTACATAAAACAGTGGCTTGAAAAGTAGAACTAAAGAATCTATTGTCTTATTTATAAAATTCATCTTTCTGGTAGACCACATATATTCTTCATTTGTTCTTCATGTCTGACTCTTTCCTCTAAACCTCATCTCAAGTATGGTGTACAATGGTGTGTGTGTGTGTGTGTGTGTGTGTGTGTGTATGTGAAAAAGGATGATGTTGTGCCAGTCAGATAGCTTAGCAGACTAATGCACCTGCTTCAGCAGAGTACAGAAGCCAGGGTTCAATGCCCAGCATGCTGTGCCTGCCCCCCACCCCTGGGTGCACTGAGACAGCCATTGAGAATGGGCATGGTGGCGTGCACCTGTAATCCCAGCACTTGGGAGGCTGAAAACAGAATCAGCACAAGTCCAATCTACGTAATGAGACCCTGTACACCCTATAAACCCTGTCCTAAATTCATAAAAAAGGGTGATGTATCAGAAATTGAAAGCCTTATGTCAGGGGAGATGATAGGAAAAGAAACAATAAGTCTCTTTGGGCTACATATCTCCTCACAGACATGGGAAACAATAATTATGTGCCTGCTGCACTAACTTACTCAACTGAAATAATTTGCCTCAAGAAATTTTGGAGCTGAAACTATTTTGCAGAAAACAATCATTGTCCTTTGGAACATTTCATATTCTGGCAAATAAGTCACGGCTGTTTTGTGAAATGAGTCTATCTGCAAAGTACTAGCAATTATGAATATAAAAATTTTAAAATGGGAAAAAATAGTCCTTTAAAAGTAAGCTTACAATTGAGTAATCTCTATATATACAGAGGTATTTTTAACACTCTCATATGTTTTCTTGGTTGTCTTTTCTGATAATCTCATTTTTATTTATGGATGTGCTGAGTCTTAAAATCTTATACTATAAAGAGATAGATGGGGTACTCACAGTGTATTTTATACCAATAATAATATTTGGACTGGCCCCGAGAGATTTCCAAAGTCTAGCAAAGCAGCAGTACCGAAGAAAACTGTTTCTTAAATGATTTCAACTAAAAATCGACTTATGATGAAATGTGCTTTTTCCGCCATTCAAAGGTTGAAAGACCACAGGAACAGATTTGGCATGACTACAGAAAGAGGCAAACTTGCAGAATTATTGGTGGGATTTTGCTACTGACTCTAGGGTTGAGGTCAGAATTTCCCAAAGGATACTTTCATCTTCCCCCGTATCACTACCAGACTGAGGCTGGATTAAGGGAGACAGTTGGTCAGTGGAAGGGATGCTACCCAAAGGACATAAATTTTTGCTGAGAGCTACTATAGCATAAAGATAAAAGCAAAAAAAAAAAAAAAAAAAAGCAAAAAACCAGACATGGAAAATCTGGAGGCTCCGGATCGAGCTGTTTGATTCTTTGGTTATCCTGTGACATATATGATCTTACCATTAAAATTTTCTCCCTCCACAAATGTTCAATTTATCAGATTCATAAATCATATATATTTTCCAGATATTAACTCGCTTGGACAATTTAGTTATTCTTTCAAACATATCTATGGAACTAAATCAATATGTCATTCCAAACATATGCAATATGTTAAGTAAGAAAACTAAAATGTGTTTATTGATTTCAAAAAACTAGCTTATTTATTTATTTGTATTTTTAGGGAAGGGTCTTCATGGTGTTCACGGTCTCGCTACTAGATTGGACTTGTAGTGATCTGCCTGTTTACAGCCTCCCCAGCGCTGGGATTACAGGAGTGTGCCACCACTCCCAGTCTCAATTGCCATCTCAGCAGCCCCGGTCCCTGCACCTGCTTGCAGGTGCTTTAATCCGCTGAGCTATTCGACCAGCCCCCAAACTGCCTGTTGATGCAGAACCAGAATAGGAACATATACTTAGCGTTCATTGTATAATCACTGTCTGTAGCCCACATAACCAGTGTGTTGGGTTTAGGAAGCAGCACCAGAGCCCCCACTGCCTCTGACTTCATTACCGAGTCGCCAAGGCTGACTGGCAGAAACTTGAAGTAGGGAATGATGGAGCCTCAGATACTTCCCTGAGGAGCTCTCTCAGGGGCTTTGAGATGACTCCAGGCCAAGAAAAAGAACCTGTGCGCTTATAATTCATATTAGTTCTAGATAATTTTCTTTCCTTCAGGATTTTTTTTAAAGAGAAAATGTAAAAGTCAGTGGAGTCGTGGTGAACCTAGCGCATGGGTGTTAATTGCTTTTCTTTTAAGACAAAAGATGTTAATGTCTGTGGTTTTTTTTTCCTACCCTAAAAACTCCAAATTCAGGTTTAATCGCAGTGTTGGTACTTTGCAAGAAATGAGCAAGTTTTGTGTTGCACTCTGGGCACTTGCCCCTAGACGGTGCACCTCGAGTGGCATAGAGTGCTTTCTGGAGATGGTATAAAGATATCTTCCTGGTATCTACTCTTAGGTGGTCTCTTTGATATTAATGAGAATACCTTTGGTGTCAGTTTATTTTCCAAATGAAAAGAAAATATCGAAATCTATTCAGAAAATATTCTTGGAGACCTGCTGTGTTCAAAAACTGAAAATGACATTTTCCTCATATAAAATAAAATGACTGATGCAGACCTAGTGTGTAATGGGATTCAAACAGCATTCTGTAGCTCTTAATGTTTTCTACCTGATCCTAAGTTTATTTCTCAAGGCCTAATTACACCACACTAATTTTAGATACTGAGTTACTCAAGTGCTTTATTTCCCCATACAAAGTCTCTTCAGCAAACTGACTCATGAAAGCCTAGAAGTACTTAAAATGACGTATCAGAAAAATGACAGTTCATTTTATATTTCATATAACCAAGTGCAACTTCACCTTATACTTGGCATTGGCAGAGAAGCTGGTCCTCCAGCGGACGGTGTACAGCCGTACCTCGGATGCTTTTTGGTTCTTAGGGACAGAGTTGTCTGCCCAGCTGACCCTCACAGCCTCGTGGGTGAGCGCCACGGCTTGCACACCTACTGGTGGGAGCATGGGGGTGGAGAGATCTGGGACGGAGGTGGGGAAATCATCAAGCAAAGGGTAATAGTCAACTGGGTCAGTGGGATCTGGGGTACAAACCCATAAAATGAAACACATGTAAGTACATAAACAAAAGCATTAAAATAAATATCAGTGGTAACACATCACGATGAGTTAAATGCATGGCAATAATGATGAAAGGGAATATGAGAAGAACAGAAAAAAATGCAATTAATTACACGAGAAAACACAAGGGCACCAGTCTTCTTATATCACAAAAGAACAATATTTCTACCCTCATTTTCTTATTTTTTCATCAGTTTGTTTATCACCTTTGCTTATAAATGATAAATGTCCACATTTGTTGAAATATTGTACCTTGCTACTTAAAAGACACAGTAGAACATTTAGCAATTTGATTACTCTATAGATGAATTAAAGTAGCAAATTAAAATGATGCTTCTGGGTTATTTCCTCCTGCAAAGGAAATAAATATTTGTTGAATAGCCGGTATTTTTTTCTTGTCGTATAATTTGATGATCAAGCTTCTCTAATGCTTTAATTATTGTTTATTTCATGTTTAAATAATGTTGTTTAGGCAACAAACAAATAACAAAGTACTTTACCATGCTAAAGCCTGTGTATAGTTGTAAACTCATAAAATTAGAATGAGCAAGTCCAGGTGCTCACAAAGATCATTGCATTTGGTTGTTAAGGGTCAGCGTCTAAGAGGAGTGCTGGGTGGCACTACTTCCTAAGAGGTGTATTAGTTCATATTCCGCACATGCTCAGGGTACCCACCTCTAATCTCAGTTTTCACAGGAATTGCTATATTCCATCATCTTTATTCTAAAAATTTTAGTTCAGTGGACCCCTTGTCTTATTGGCCTAGAATACAAAATTAATTGCCTTCACATTGATGGGATTTGCACTGAGGTATGGACATGCTTTGATCTGAAACATGACAGAGGTCTAAAAGATGATGTCTGTGTTCTCATAAAGTTTTCCAATAACTGGAACTTATTTTCACATAGAGAGACACTGAGATTTTGTGGCAATGGTATAGTCCAAAATGCACATTTTAATTTTACTTAACATATTCATGTTTCAAAAATTAATCTTTGTATTATGTAATATGAATTTTCACTAACAAAGACTATGAGATGTAACAGCACAGTTCCGAGAGACCAGTTAAATGGAATGTTTCAGTGGTATACAATCAGTTTCCTTTTCTTTTTAAAAAACCTATTTCAAAGCTGAGCACCTTCTGGCTGCTTCTGATGATTATGACACTTCGTTCACTGTATTACAAATGTCTATCCCTGTATCCATCACTCTGTGTTCCAATTAATTATTTAGTGTGTTACTGGTCTATGGTCTTCGGAGCAAAATATAAAACAAAAAAAAATGGAAAGAGAGA